ATGTCCCTTACATTGGTGGTCAGTGGGAAGAATGTCCCTTACATTGGGGGTCAGTGGGAAGAATGTCCCTTACATTGGGGATCAGTGGGAAGAATGTCCCTTACATTGGGGGTCAGTGGGAAGAATGTCCCTTACATTGGGGGGTCAGTGGGAAGAATGTCCCTTACATTGGTGATCAGTGGGAAGAATGTCCCTTACATTGGGGGTCAGTGGGAAGAATGTCCCTTACATTGGGGGTCAGTGGGAAGAATGTCCCTTACATTGGGGGTCAGTGGGAAGAATGTCCCTTACATTGGGGATCAGTGGGAAGAATGTCCCTTACATTGGTGGTCAGTGGGAAGAATGTCCCTTACATTGGGGTCAGTGGGAAGAATGTCCCTTACATTGGGGGTCAGTGGGAAGAATGTCCCTTACATTGGGGGTCAGTGAGAAGAATGTCCCTTACATTGGTGGTCAGTGGGAAGAATGTCCCTTACATTGGGGGTCAGTGGGAAGAATGTCCCTTACATTGGGGGTCAGTGGGAAGAATGTCCCTTACATTGGTGATCAGTGGGAAGAATGTCCCTTACATTGGTGGTCAGTGGAAAGAATGTCCCTTACATTGGAGGTCAGTGGGAGAATGTCCCTTACATTGGGGGTCAGTGAGAAGAATGTCCCTTACATTGGGGGTCAGTGGGAAGAATGTCCCTTACATTGGTGATCAGTGGGAAGAATGTCCCTTACATTGGTGGTCAGTGGGAAGAATGTCCCTTACATTGGTGATCAGTGGGAAGAATGTCCCTTACATTGGGGATCAGTGGGAAGAATGCTCCTTACATTGGTGGTCAGTGGGAGGATTGCTAGAGAAAGTGCTTGGGTATTGCTTTGTACATTGGCCTGCCCCCGTGCACCTTTTCTTTTCTGTTGGTTTTAAGGGCGGACAGTTGGAACCAACAAAACTTCAGCTCAACTGCCTTTGTTTGCAGACTGCAAGTGTACAGTAGGCCTTATAGTCAGTTTTCTGGGGTGCTCTGGATCCATTTAAAAAAAAAAAATCCCCAAATGTACTTTGAGGCTGATTGGGGTGTGCTCCTTTTGGAGGAAGGGACAGATAAATATCAAACAGCACAAAGCCGTAAAACTTTCAGTGCTGTACTGCGAGAGTGCTATTGGGACTCCAATAGGAGGAGATGAAAGCCAGGAACTACGTCCGGCCCATACAGAGATAAGAGACGTTGCCTATTTCTACCAAAATTTTAATATTTTGAAAATTTACTTTTTATGTTAATCAGTGTTTTACTTAATGGGCCAATCCCGCATGTTTCAAGGTGTTGAAAGTTGTCCCCATAGATTTGTAGATGAGTCACCATTTTATGCAGAACCTGGATTCTGGTCCCCAAAAGGGATTTGCACAGAGGCCCATAATGTCAAGACAGTGGTTCGGGTAGGACTACGAGCGCGGCAGGACTACGAGCGCGGCAGGACTACGAGCGCGGCAGGACTACGAGCGCGGCAGGACTACGAGCGCGGCAGGACTACGAGCGCGGCAGGACTACGAGCGCGGCAGGACTACGAGCGGGGCAGGACTACGAGCGGGGCAGGACTACGAGCGGGGCAGGACTACGAGCGGGGCAGGACTAGGAGCGGGGCAGGGCAAGGAGCGGGGCAGGACAAGGAGCAGGGCAGGACAAGGAGCAGGGCAGGACAAGGAGCAGGGCAGGACTAGGAGCAGGGCAGGACTAGGAGCAGGGCAGGACTAGGAGCAGGGCAGGACTAGGAGCAGGGCAGGACTAGGAGCAGGGCAGGACTAGGAGCAGGGCAGGACTAGGAGCAGGGCAGGACTAGGAGCAGGGCAGGACTATGAGCAGCAAAGATGTTCTCTCTATATGCATGAAGTAGAGGTGATGCTTTTTGCACCACATATGATTTAGTGCAGGAAGAGGCCCTGTCACCACAACTCCGGGATATTATTGAAGTGTCAGTTGACATTCCATGTCTGGTCAGGCGTCTAGCTCCAAAGGACACCAATGTGCTGTGTGTGTGGGATCTCTTCCTTCTCAGCAGAACGGTTTTGAATCAGGGACCACACATTGCAGAAGTGCCTCAACAGTGTGGCTTCACGTATATTTGCAAATGTGTGCATTGAAACCTCTGACCTGAGCTACGGAATGTTTTTTATTTTATTTACTTTATTTTTAAAAATACAATTTCTAATATACTGTATGTCTTTAAAAATACCAATCTACAGTTTTGGAATGCATTTACAAATATATGTATAAATATTTGTTAAAATTACTTTTTTAGATGTTAAAAAGAAAAATCTGAAGAATATATTTAAAAAAAAAAAAAAATTATATAAATATTTTTCATATATTCTGTAATATATAAAAAAAATTCAACAATTTTTACATACAATGCATTCCCAAAATGTAGAATTATATTTTTAAAGACATACAGTATATTTGAAAATGTTTTTCATATATTTTGTAATAAAAACGCACTTCAACATACAGTGTGTATATATATATATATATATATATATATATATATATATATATATATATATATATATATATGTGTGTGTGTGTGTGTGTGTGTGTGTGTGTGTGTGTGTGTGTGTCTATATATATATATTTGAAATACTACAATTTTGGCCATATTTAATTTATTTCAATAAATATATATATATATACACACACACACACACATAGGGGCATACAATCTAAGGTCTCCAACTCACATTCATACATACACATATTAGGGACAATTTAGATTATATATATATACACACACACACACACATATATACACACACATATATACACACACACACACACACACATATATACACACACATATATACACACACACACACACATTTTTTTCACATATATTCTTCAGATTTTTTTTTTTTACATATCAAAAAGTCATTTTAACATATAATTGTAAATGCATTCCAAAAATGTGGATTTGTATTTTTAAAGACATACGGTATATTTGAAATATTTTTTTTTAAATATTTTTCATATATTTTGTAATAAAAAAACTAATTTCAACATAATATATATATATATATATATATATATATATATATTTATTTTTTTTTTTTTTAAATATATTGAATATGGCCAAAATTGTAGTATTTCATTTCAAATATATTTGGGAAGCGTATTTTTGAAATGTATTTCAAATATATTTTTCTTCCGTATGGGAAGTGTTTCAGTATCTCAGGTCAAAGGTTTTAATACAAACATTTGCAAATAAATGTGAAGCCACACTGTCGAAATAATATAAAATATATTTCAAATATATTTTTCTTCCATGTGGCTTAGTTCGGTTTGTTTGTGCCAAGTCACGGTCTGAGTGATGGAAAGCAAAGAAATAAAGAAAAGACGATACTTTATGTGAAATCGACCGTATGGTGTCATGCACAGGGAAAAAAAAAGAAAAAGCAGCTGATGTACACAGACACCTTCCCCACCAGAGAACAAACTGTTCACCGACCTCTTTGACGTTGCTCGGGGAAGAGTAGAAACTAATATATGGCAATATTTGGACCTTTTCTTTCTTAAAAATACACAAAGGTTTGAGGAACATCAATTATAACATTTCATGTAAGGGAAAAAAACAAAATGGCGGACGACTAACGTCTGCTACTATAAACAAAAAAAAAAAAAAAAAAAAAAAAAAAGACTAGCATGAATCGGAAAAAAAAAGGCCAAACCAGACAACCACCATGTCTATGGCCTTCCTGCAGACCAAAACCAGCCTGATAATGGGGCAAGGATACTGAATTTCACCATTTATAAGCCCCTGGACCATAATAATGAGCACATCAGAGGTCGGAGGCAGGGGCAGACTGACAACTCATGGGCCCCCCGGGCAATAGGGGATCATGGGGCCCCTGGGTCCTTGTCCAAACTCAAAAAAGCCTATGAAAAAGGTACCAGGGGCATCTCATGGGGCCCCCTACTGACCCCGGGCCCTCGGGCAGTGCCCGAGTTTTCCAAATGGTCAATCCGCCCCTGGTCAGAGGTATTTGTTAGAAACAGGAATAGAGATTTGTAGGGACAGCAGCTATTCCAGGGGTGAACAACCTGCGGCTCTCCATCTGTTGCAGGGACTACAAGTTCCATCATTCCTCTGCCAGTCATAGCTTTAAGTGTCAGTTTTTATCAGCTGAGCAATTAATGCATTTGGATACAAGACAAGAAACAATTAAAATCAACAATCATCACCATTGCAGCCCCTTGGTCTGTGTGCACTGCTTTCCCGAACTTCCTTCTGCTAGTGTACACCCATCAATTCTCTGAAAGTCCCTCTGACCACCATCCTCAGGACTAATGTCCCATGATGGTCATTGCCGCTGTGCTTGTACCTTCTGGGCTAGCCCACAATGGACGACTCGTCAGGAGCATACACGTAGGGGTGTCAGGGGTGCCCTGCTAGGGCAAGGTGACACCCAACAGCAGAAAAGAGATGGGGCAGTGAAAAGAGAACTGACTGAGCGGGAGGAAGGCAACGTTTTCATAAAAAAAAGACAAGCAGCAGGAAACTAAAAATATAATATTACTCCAATTTACTCACCGACTGAGTACCCAGCCAGTAAAAAGCCCGCCGATCCAGAAAGCACTTGGAATCCAAGATGGCGGGTTTTGTGGATTATAAGGCCCATGCGCGTGACCTAAAATTGAAGAAAAAAAAAAAAGATAATATTTAAAGTGCAACTCCAGTTTGGTGGGAACAACACAATCCCTTCAGGTGAGCTCATACAATGCAACAAATTGAGTGCACATTATTGCAAATTCTTCCTTTCCTTTGTTCGTACAGTGAAGTCCCCATGGTTCGCTCCCTCCCCCCAGCCTTTAGGTTTTTTTGGGGGGGGCAAGTACCAATTTTTAAGTAAGAATGGTGTCCCTTACCCAGCCCCCTCCCTGCTACCTCTTGGGACACGTCACATGTCCCAGTTGGCTGCAGGACCAAGATTGAACATGTATAGTGGGAAGCTGGATGTGGTTCCTCAGGAAGCCACAGTTGGCTCCCATATCCAAGATGGCGGGGTTGGGGACCTGCAGCAATAAGAAGAACTCCAGTTTTGGTGCTTTTTCAGTGTTTTTCAGCGTTTGCGTGTTTTAGGCAAAAGTATACTCCCAACATGCCCAACATGGAGGAATGGAAAGCAGGCTTTAAGGGTTGACTTCCCAGATGGAGTAGAGATTTGCCTAATAGAGAAACCTATTCACAAATGACGATACTCAGCCGTCTTTATAAAATACTCCCTGGTTGTAGATGGCCATTGGTGATGTCATCACTGAATATGGTAAAGTCACATGTAAGCCGGTGTCCGTAATAAATGAAATCGTTTGAGTGACGGACCAGTGCTCTGCATCATTGCCCAATGTCCCTCTAATGAGCTGAGGCTTGGAGCCGTCTCGTTGTGGTGGAAGTGTCCTTTGGATCCATGCCATGGCTGAAAATGTCAAGCTGCTGATTCTCTGCCTGGAACAAATTCTGGGGTGTTCAGAAAGCTAACATCAGAATTATGTCAGCCAATATGTACTGACAGGCTGGGAGCTAATTATTATATCCACCTCACATAATTACTCATTTACACCCTCCAACAGAGATCACACAAGGCTACAAATTCCCTATATCTATGGCAGTCCATATACACTATATTGCCAAAAGTATTGGGACAAAACCGCTCCAAATCGCTGGATGTTCCAATCCCCTCCATGGACACAGGTGTATACAATCAAGCCCCTAGGCATGCAGACAGCTTCTACAAACATTGGTGAAAGAATGGATCGC